AGGAGGAGAGGGGGGGGGGGAATAAAAACATCCGCTGAACGTGTTATGTCTCTCTCGGCGCACGGCACGCCACAAAATGTCCAAGAGCAAAGGTCAGGCCGGCTGGCCGGTGGTGCCGGCCGGTGGTGGTGCCCGTGGTGCCCTGCCGGTCTAAGGCCGGGCGGCCACGCCTCGCCACGGCCATGCAGACTGGTCCGGCAGAGAGCTGCATTACACGGAGCCAGTGACACGGGGCCATAAACCAGCACCGGCCCGGCCAGGTCCCGGCAGTGTACCCGGGGCACGCCGGCACGCCGGCACGCCGCCATGAGCCCCGAGAGCCTGCCCGACCGCAGGCCCGCCTCGCCCGACCTGACCCCGACCCCGCACGGTCACTCATTTTTCGTCTTCCAATGCCTGGCTCTGGCGCGCCGCGCCGCGGGAGGCTTTGCTTCTGCTAATTAATCGGACAGCTATGCGGGAGCCGCCGGGCAGCCTCCCCGCCCCTCCCATCCTCCCCACAGCCCCCTACGTGTATATATATACTTTCGCTCTCGAGCCGCGGGGCGGTCCGCCTGGTAGGAAAGGCCCTTTATAACACACTCTGCGTCGGCCGCCACTCCAGCTTTTCTGCTTTTAGCTAGTAGCATGCCCGGGTTATTGCAGCGGCTGATAGCTACCTCGCCTCGCCTGCATTTTTCATCTTATTTAACCGGCGACGCAAAGCACATCGCGTACCCCAAAAGGTATATGATGCAGGCGCTTGATGTGTGTATGTAATTGAATGTCTGTGTGTGACTTGCTCCAGACGACACACACACACACCACCACCACCTGGGCGGCCAAAAAGAGGTTTGAGAATTTTTGAGCTTCCCGGAAACATCAAGGAGGACGAAAAGTGTCCCTTATATTGAAGCGGGGGAAAAGGACGACGTAAAAATAAGTAAAATAAAGGGTAAAAAATGGACCGTAATTGACCCGACTGTTCCAAGAACAAGAAAAAAATCAAGGATAAAAAACGAAAAGAAAGAGTATACAGTCTCAGGGCAGAGGACAGGGCAAGATGAACTGGTACCGGACTGAGTGAGTCCTTTCTTTCCCCCTCAGGCTGGGCTGTTTGTGCTCGCGTCTGGACAGCCCTGGTCATTGTGTCTCATCCCGCGTGGAATCAAAACATTCCGGAGGGAGGGTTGACTTATTAGCAATGGAAAAGGGAGAAGGGGACGGGTATAGCGCTGAATGACCTTAGCGAGCCGTGCCAGTATTTTTTCTAAATAGATGGTCTGCCTTCAGTATAAAGAAAAAGACGAGTGATGGTTTTAACCCGGAAAAATTATTTTCCCAAAACTGAAGATGCCAAAATATCGAAAAAACCATAGAGAAACAGCCCAAACAAAAATGAGAAAGTTGTCACAAGGGGGCACTTTACAGTGAGGCGCCTGCCTGGCGTCAAACGTGTGGAAAATAAAACAACGATGAAAAGGGGGGCATTAGTCGCGCGTTCTTACTTCGGACGGCGTATTTCAGTCTCTATTTAACGCGCAATCAGCACGATAGCATCTTTCCACTCCTCCTTCGCACGCACAGGTGCACACTCACACACACATACACAGGTGCACACAGGGGCACGCACACACACACACACAGGCTAGAATCTTTCGGGCGCAGAAAATTTGTAGACTACGTTACAGTTAGTGTTGAGGTCACGGAACCTTCCCGACACATGCGGCGCCAGTACGAGTACCCGACCCGGGTGGCAGGATGGCAGGGTGGGTCCTTGGTTTGTCGGGATCGTATCGAGCCAATGATAACGAAGAGATTGCAGCCATGGTATATGGGCTCGGGTGACACTTTGACCGCGGGGCATGACGCGGTGCACCGGGTGCAGCGGAGGGAGTCCCTCGAGGTGGCCGTCGGCGGCGCTATGAAGGTCGGCCACGCTGCGATGCGCACGGAAATTAACTCCGGCGTGCACTAGTGCTAATGTGGGGCCAAGAGCGGGAGCGGGAGCCTTAAATCTGCCGGCATGTAGCCGTTCACACCCACGGGATGATACCTACTTTAGGCGTCGTGTACCCCGGAAGCCAGGCCAGGTGAGCAACAGCGCGCAAGAGAGAGAGGAGGAGGGAACGAGAACGAGAACGAGAACGAGAGAGAGAGAGCGAGAGAGAGAGAGAGAGAGAGAGCGAGAGAGAGA